GGCTCTACCATGTTATCATGGTTATGGCGGTGACACTCTTCGTACCTTATGCGTACTACTGGAAATGTTAGGAATGCCCAAGGCAAAAGTTAAAAATGACTGAAAAGAAATACGCAGCAAGGTCCCCAAATATAGTTTGGCTAAGCTGAATGCAGAGAAACCGGTGCTTTGCCTCTTGGGAACGTCGTGTATCTGTCACACTACAACAAAGTACAAGCACGGTAACGCAACCAATATAAGTCCATACTAGCACTATACTATCCCCTGTGACCTGATTTCTGTAGGAATTTTTCTAGAGAGGCGAACAAAGCTTTGCGCATTGCATGCATGTACGTAACTGATGCTGCCGACAGCACTGGCGGGTGAGGTGTCAAGTTCCGACTTGCCCGAGGTTTGTGCCCGCCGCAAGACGTCCAGTTTTGAAGTGGCTCGGTGTCCTGAGACACAGCCTGGGGAGGGAACTTCGCACGTTCGAAGTTACTTTTCACGCACGCACAAACTCCCAGCACGGAAGTCAGGTGAAGTGCATGCTGCATGATAATGTACAGGTTCTAATCTAAGGTAATCTATGCGGTGCGAGACGAAGCAGCACGAAAGTGGCACGACCTCGTGCGTGACAAGGCGATTTTCAGTAACACAGAAAACTGCTCGTGATTGCCCTTGTCACAAGTTGTCAGGTGTTACAAGAGGCAGTTTAGTCCACCTTCTCCTCGTTTGGCTTGACTAGATGGGCAGCGTAAGCTGCAGTTGATTATTTGAATGGGAACAGATCCACGGTGTATTTCTGAGCATCGTTTAGTAGCAACAGATACTGGCGACATTTCTCTTCTAGAAATGGTCTGATGTCTTACACAGTGCAATATGCAGTGTAAATGGAGACAGGCTGCTCTCTATCTCAGTATCTGAGGACTCAAGTCCATGAACAAAAGCAGTGTGACTGTAATACAATTATTACTGTGATTACTGATTAGCGTGATCGTTAACAATTACTGATTGGATAACATGAGCCAACGGTTGATTACCGCAATTATTACCAGCGGCTACAAATGTATTAAAATGAAGAATTGTGGCATTTGTGCGCGTGGATGGGACAGTCGATTAATTTACAGCTCGTATACTGACTTCCCAAGATGCCGGATTGATGATGTAACGTTAGTTTGAGACGATTCACACGCAACTCTCATATTCATAACGTAAAATAAACACTGTCTGTGGTCAATACAAGAAATTATGAACTGAACTTTGCGACTCAGTGCTAGCCCTTTGCGGGGATAATGGTCGGAAAATGTTCAGTTCAGACCGTGAGTGTCAGACCGTCGCTCGAAAAGCAGTGAAATTGGCAGAACAAACCTTACGGCAGGCACCTCCTTGAATTCTGTTCCATTTCTTTATCCACATACCAAACATGCATGAAATATGCCAGCAGGCAGGAGAAGTACTACATGTACAGGTACAGGTACACGTAAATGCTGCCAATTTTCTGCCGGCATTGTCCTCCATTGACTCTAGGCAAAGCCTACGACTCGCCCACTTCCACCGCCAAACATACGCTATCGATTAAAAAGAAAAGGGGGTTTGTCAACTGAAAACCGCTCTATTCAGTTGCTATTCACAATCTGCGCAGGCGCTGCATTAAACTTTTCTATTGTGATGTTGAAATTTTATTGCCATTTCGGGCCCTTCACCCATCGTGATAACTCTGTTTTTCTCTGTTTTAGGTGTGGAATTTTCTTCCGTGACTGCATGGCGCATCAGCTTCCCTCTGGGTTTTTTTCTTCTTTTGTGCATGTAATGTATTGACGAAGTAGAGAAACGAAACACCAGCAAGAGAACTGCATTGTACATTGTGCATTGTAAGAACTAATGCCATCAAGCTGAAATGATGATTCTGTACTATTACTTTGAGTTAGACATCAATATTGTATGTGCATGTGCATGTACATGTACATCACTACGTGTACATGTACATGACTGTACATTTATTGCACGTGTACATGTACATGTACCTCCTGGGCAGTATACACTGTACATGTACATGTACATGTACATGTATTGCACAAAGAGAGAGCGCGAGAGGATCCCGTAGTCGATCTACATGTACATGTACGTTACAAGTGTCGGAACTGCATATTATTATTCGTGTAACGTTACTGTTGGAACCAGTGTGACCAGGGATAGTATGGAAGGACTGGCAAGACGCTGGAACCTGTGCCGCGTGACCGTGATAGTGGAAGGTTGTAGAAGCGGTAAATGTGTGCTTGGAACGTTCATCCATCCCAGGTTGAACTGGCTACGTCCGGTGGGAATCGTTTTTCAGCCGGCAAAGCCACTTAACACCGTCTTTAGTCTTTACTGAGTCATGGTGCTCTCTACTACTACTAGCTCTCAGGGCGACAGTGCAGCCATCCAGGATCCTGGGCCATGCCCCTTCTGCCCACTAAATATGGCTACACCGCTGTTTTCCATCGCACTCGTACATGATCAAGCAAGATTCATCAGGTCGTACTTGCGACGGCGTAAGTTTCGATTTGCCTTCGACACGCCAAAGCAAGATCTGAACGCATTCGCCAAACTAGAATCACTGCAGTACCGTAGACAATTCATAAGCCTAGTTACATTGCACAAGTTTATTTTCAAGTACCGGAACACCTTGGCTCAGTTCAGTTTTAATATTTCCCGTGGTGAGAGACGCCCCAACAAAATTATCCTCCCCAAAGCCTTGACAACATCCAAATCACTTTTTTTATTCAAAACCTCCATTTTATGGAATCGTCTCCCACCCACATTGACTAAAACCTCCATTTTATGGAATCGTCTCCCACCCACATTGACTTGGGAATCTTCTGTCCATGTATTCAAGAGAGAGCTGCGCAAACATTCTTGTCAGTATTCAGGTCTACTCGCTGGCATGCTGCCGTTACCCTGTTCATCGTAGTCCCCCCTTTCCCAATCTGTACTCTCTTGTACCATGTGTACCATCATCCTTCAATGCGACGGACCCCACGATAGGCGGTCAGCCTTTGGGTCATCCTAATAAAGTTATTATTATTATTACTAGTATGATTCAGGACCGGAGTATTACAGGGAGCATTGGAAACGTATGGGCGCTCGTAGCACTGCGCTACTAAATACTGTTCCAGCATCCACGATCCACACTGCGGCTGCCATGGATCACTTGCACAGGTCAACTACTGCTGAATACCATGAATACAGTTTAGTTAAATTAAAAGGTTCACCGCTGCCGCTTCACAGCTCCGCGAATCCACAGTAGGTCTACAATCACGTGGCGATAAGAGTGTCTTAAACTGCTAAAGGCTTTGGTATGCAGCACGCTGCACTGCAGCTACAACGTAGCTGTGCAGCGCGCGCAGGTACTGTACAAGAAGACTTGTGACGATGTATGTGAAGACAGATCAGGATCAGATTTAATTCATTTTTTAATTCATTACTTGACCATGTTGACCTATCCATTCTTCATACACACTCTTCTTCACACTACACGCTGAGCATACGTGGCTCGTGACCGCGGTGTACACATGGTACATGTCCCCACTTCCTGAAAGGTTCCTGCAAGAAGTACGGTAGATCTACCCCCAGCCAGTGCCCCATCATGCAACAATTGCAAGTACAATCATGTAGATCTACTACCAGTGGTGTTGCATTCTGCACTGTCTACACCAGGGAGTAATACAATACCAGTATTATTATAATTATTATTATTGTACTACTCCCTGGTCTACGTCGTAAAATACCATTTTTACGACTCCCTGGTGTAGACACTGTAACACAGGCCCACCGCAATGGCAACATGGCTTCACTACAAAAGACTTGAGTGAAACCTTTATCCCAAGATGATGTCGTAATATGCAACGGACGTAGATAACGAAGTGTCAATGGCTTCGAATGTGCATCGCCGTGATTACCTGGCCTGCGCAGGCTGCGGACTCGGCGGCTGATATGCATGGGCGGTAAATATGGCCTCGGGTGATTCGTTGTGCCATATCCTGAGCTACATCGTCCAGATGGGTGCATATTGATTGAGTTCCTGGTCTACCTAGGCAATGGAACGGTGCCCTTTCAAGCATCCACCAAGCAGCTTAGCTGAGTAAGTAATATAATACTAATACTAGTTGAGAACGCATCACCATCAGTTTCACTCCTGTCTGACCAGCAGCTACAGTACTACAGTATTCTTATCATTCGATTCATTGAGTGTCTTTACACTGTGTTACTCTCTTCGCTTTGAGTTTGAGTATCACCGGGGTACAGTACGGCCGTACTGTACGTGTAACGCGTTTGCCACCAAAGCCGAAGGCCCCATCATAGGCTGTAGTAACCAGTCGATGCGAATCTTGGTCACTTGAGTAAACCCATAGTTATTTTTTCTCCTGGGGCAATCAGCAGTTAGTCACCGTAACTACATTGTAGCAAACGATCGGTGCCGAGTTTTCACCTCGAGCTCCGCGACACTGACTGTGCTCCCTGCATGTACGCAGTTGCTACTGGTGTGGCGAAATACGTGACATAATTGACATACAGTACTTACTGGCGAACTGAGCCCCTGCATAGCTGCAGATCTAGATGTGCACTCCACTGACCGATCGGAGTCACAAAATCACACTTCACTGTCTTCAGTTTACTGTTTAGGCTAGCTCAGCATGCACGAAGAGCTGAAGTAAAGAAGTAAGTTTAGAGTGCACCATGCAGCGCAGGAACGAACAGCATCCAGCGCAAACTCACGACACGAGGCCAGCGGCAACGTGCGACGTCAATGGATCGCGAGATCTAGCTGCGGTAATAGGTAGCACGTGACGAGCGCTGTGCAAGGAATTCATGATGACACGCAGCAAGCGTTACAAGTATACGCTGCTAGCGTATACGGCTCGTGAAGAAAGTGCAGTGCCAAAGCGCCGCACATAGAACTAGCCGTCATCAATCCCCCAACACATTGAGCAGGCAGGCAGCAGCACTGCAGAGTGCAGTGCAGGCTAGCTGCAGCAGTGGCAGCTCCAGCGGGGTAAACTATCGTCCAGAGCGCATCAAGAAAAATCGCGCGGAACTGGTTACAGTTTGTCAGTGTAGACGTTGCTGCTGGGGGGAGGTGGAAGGGACTCCAGAGAGCGACCCGTGAGAGTGGAGCTTGCTACATGGCCGCCCAGCGTAGTACTGCCGCTACTGCGGCTGTTTCTACAGCATCAGTCAGTGACAGTATCCGGGTGCAACAGGCCAGCGCAAGCAGCAAGACAAGGCGTCCCTCCGGGAGTGCTACTGACCTGGACTTGGATGCGTTGTCAAAGCAAGAATTGGACATTGAATCGTTGACGATCCGGATCAGAGCCATCCTGGACAGACATCGAATATCGCAGTTGATTTTCGGAGAACGTGTGGTCGGATGCTCCCAGGGACATTTGCACAACCTTCTGCACAAGCCCAAGCCATTCTCGCAGCTATCCGCCCACGGCAAGCGACCGTATTACAAGATGCAAGCGTTCATGGAGAAAGAAGGCTTGCAAGATCGAATTGATGAGTTAACGTCACTCCGGGGAGGTAAGCATGTAATGTTGCATGTGGGTACTGACTCTGTTGTGTGCGCTCTGATCCCCATACTTCTCCTGGGTTGAACGTTCATTGACAAAGTGAATATGGTCACTATACAGGGCATGCGTAGTCCGACCGCGTAGTGAACATCAAATGGGGACAGAGCAGTGAGCATGGCCTGGGAGTATTGGAACCCTGGCTTCTGGTAGGATGTGACTCTGTATCTGTGTGTGTGGGTTTGTGCTGAGCATTGTTTGGGCTGTCTGGGCCTGGAGAGCTGGAGCAGAAAGTGTGAGAAGGACTGTCTAGAAAAAAGGGGCTTGGGCGTGTGAAGGTTATGGTGACACGAGGGGCTCATCAGCCTCACGCTCCGTGGCAAGCCATGGCTCATCTCGGCAAGATTAGCCTTACAAAGTCTGAAACAAGCTCTGATCTATCTTACCAGTCTCTCCTATTGAGTCCTAAACCTTGCTTTTTCAAAGCTGAACCAAGGCCAGCAAAAGGCCCTAGCCCCGCAAGCCTGTGTATGTGTGTGTGTGTGTGTGTGTGTGTGTGTGCACAAATGTATGTGTGGGGTGGTCCCGGCAATGACCGTTGAAGTAGTTGGAGCCAAAACATTCAAATCTGCCTGCTCATGAATATCTGGTTCGGTAAATGGTTGCGGCAAGGTTAGTGCACAGGGAGAACTAGGACGTGCTGCTTGTCTGCTGTTTGGCCGTGGATGTCACAGAATCGGTCACTGCTGTTATGAGCACTTTCCGGGACTCACATTGGTGACTTTGTCAGTTCTGGCGGGACTCGGCGAAGAAATCCATCTTTACATGTATTCAAGGCATGTACAGGTTTTGCTGTCGGCGTGCTGTGGGTTCCTTGTTAGAGATGACCGAGGTCATGGTGAGCAAAGGCTTCTCGAGGAGGGTGTGGGGCAATTTATAAGGAATGTTCGCTGAGGAATTTACAAGCCTCAAGCTTTGGGGCGCAGCCGTTCCTAATAATATCCAACGTCCAACATCCCGTAGTCAGCTGTTTTCACTTTGGCAAATGAATACGTCCTGCTCTGTGGGGTGCTGACAGTCAAGGGAAAATGGCTGCTTCCTTCCTTCTCGTGTGTGATTCCTTGTTTTCAGAGCAAGCAGTCCATGAGTACAAATGTAAATTAATTATTCCAGGTTAGGAAGTTGTAGGTGGTGACCTTGGACATCCGCCACATACGGTACTTAGTTTGTGTTGAGCTCTTCGCGAAAAAAGGCTGACCACTAAGAGGCACCTTATCAGCTGATCGAGAGAAAATCTGAAGACCTTTTGCCGTTTTGGGAAGAAATGAACACTGAGCGTGAACTTGAAATCCCCGGTAATGAGTAGCTAAGTATTGATTGTAGCGAGGAGTGGATGATGCGTAATATAAACTCACTTTGCTTGCAGTCCTACTTGCATGCTTCACAGCCTTTAGCTTGTTTCTGCAATTAATTGAGTTTTTTTCTCGTTCTAGCAGACAAGTGCTAGCACAGTGCGATCACTGCATGCACTCTGATTTCCCAGGCCAGTGCCCATGTGCCAGTGTACCAAGTCATGCATGCACCTTGTAGGCAAGCCGCGCCAGTGCTTGAGAGAGAAAAAGAGTACTTCTGGGACCCATATGTATGAGATCACTGCCAAAAGAGGGCATGTACATGGCAGAAAACTGAGTGTGGGGCATGCATGAGCGACGTGGCAACGGTAGACATTCTTGCATGGCTGGCCAATGAGAGTGGACCTGGTGTACAGTAGTAGAGTGACCTGTTTGGAGTGTACACAGACCCTGATTGAGCTGTGTTGTGCACGATCTACAGCTCTACACAGGCTACAGGTGAAATTATCGTGTGATGTCACACCCGCAGATAACACCACCCTGTACTGGTACTGCATGTACTGCAGTACATGTGTATCCTGACAATGTCAATGAACCTGATTGAGACTAGCTACCTGCTAGTGCAGTGCAGGGCTGTAGATCAGCATCAGTGGAGTCAGTGGCGTCAGCAGCTGCACTCCCTGCCTGCAAACCATGCGCAGCAGCATAGGCAGCAGCAGCAGCAGCCATGTCTACAGCTCGTGGCGCGGGTAATTGTTTGGCAGGCAAATGACAAGTCTTCCTAAGTGTCAACGTTCCTGTCTGCGCCTCTAGCCGAAATAGATTGCTGTCCACTGCCACCACCACGGTGGATATCAGTGCTTAGCACAGCAGTTTGTGGCACATGATAGACTGCTCACCAAGCTATTCTCTCCGGTATTGGCACTCGGGCCATTTTACTAACGTGGGAAATGCATTCAAATGATGCGCTGCTAGACCCGTGTGCCTGCATATCCGTACGATGTCCAAGTCTAGTGGGGAGCGATATGGCTGGTATGTTTATAGCTCCAGAGTAGCACACACGGACACCGATATGCAAGTTGTTTCACCACAATGGGTATCCTATATTAATTGCGATAAGCCCGTCGGGTATACGTGACTAGTGGCGGGGCTGTGCCGGAAGGATGCAGTGTCTGCGGACTTGGACGAACGGCCGCTCGGTGCTGTTTAGTGGGCAAATGTGCATTTCCAAGGAACATGACGTTTGATGACGCAGAGCTGCGGAACAGTGAGAGACCCAGAGACCAACTGGCTACACCTGGTTTGGAAAATATCCATTACTACCAGCGGCGGTAGCAGCAGTACCGCCGGGATGGGATACGGGCTGTGCGCTCTTCCCGCATACAAATGCAAGCAGCGATGAGCAGACAATGTATTTCAAGTACCTAAAAGACGGGCATGTACTGTTTAGGCCATGCACAGTGTCTCTTGCCTTGTGCTCGGTGCTCATGATTACTGGTGACCTGCTCAACGGCAATATCCTGAAGCTGCTTGTGATCGTTACCAGGAAGCATCTTCACGCTTGTGCTACGGGAATAGCCAACCGGTGATATTTGACTATGTAGTCAGCTACACAGCGTGTGTGTGCGTGTGTGATAGATGCTGATCTCTGAAAGAATACCACTATCAGCCAGTGAAGCATTGAATTAGCCTGCAGGTCTCTGCAGCTACTCGTACTTCCCCCCAAAAACTTAGAAATTGACACTCAGCCTTGCTACGATGCGTGTTCCACAACTTGAAAACTCCTCATGCGTGCTGGCCAGACCCTGGGCCACTGCACCTGTAGTTGTGCCACTCTGCAGGACCAGCAGGGGAGCAGTGCTCACTTATTGACTTTCTGAGCAGCGAACGAGCAGCATGGGGGTTTCTGTATTCATACATACATGCGCTGTTTGCAGGTACATGTAAAAGAGCAGGCATGCTGGATGAGGGTGCTGGAAACTGCAGAAGAAGCTGCGCTGTGGACATCCATTGCCTCAGGCGGCGCCCAGAGCTAAGGCTGGCACATTTGTGTTGCCTGACTATTTCATCATGCAGCCTGCATCGCATTCCTTTAGTTTAGGATGCAATTCAGGAAGGACTTGATGCAGCAATGGCAATGGAGTGCAACGGTAAAGGGAGAGTTGTGACACAGCCGTGGCTGCAGTGGCATCCGTATCTTGGCTTGAGCGTAGGATGTGCTGAAAACACCAGTAGCCACTGCCATTGCTACTTTGTATGATCGAGAATGTGCTGGATATTACCCGCATGGCAAACCGGCATGCAGACGTGGTGGTCTGCGTGACCAGAGCCGGGCGATACCCACGCTTGCAAGAATCACATTGTCTGCGGTGATCAGTGCCATAGCTGTGGCAAATTTTCAAAAATGATGATTGTGGCAGGAAGGAGGTGATGTCTCTGGTAATAGGATCTCCGCGACACGCAGTCATCGGAGTCACTGTCCGCTTGGTTCAAACAACAAAAATGCTCTTGATCTTCACCTTACTGAATGGGGCGGTGGCTCTGTTTTCAACCATGCTTCTAGCCAGTGGTCATGGGTGGTTGCCGGACACTGCACTGGCTCTTGCACACGGACAGTATATGTATCTTCTCTCAGGTTATTATGCCTCGTAGCCTCGTAGCCTCGTAGCTTTAGCACCGTGTAGAATTATGGGCGCGGCATGCGCCCGCTCAGATCCGCAGTACAGTGCAATACAACAATACTTTGCCATGCCTTGTCTGCCGCAGCTTGAACTTCCTGCCGGGATGAATCATTAGGCGCTCAACGTTCAATTTCAAATAGAACACACGGTGCATGCTGCATTTTACTTTTTCTTTTTACAAAAGGCGATCTACATCCATAGCAAAGGACCAAGGAACTACAAGCTATGCTATAATGTCCACTAGCACCACCAGTTACTTGGCAATCAGCTCATGCGATAACATAGTTCCTTGTAGTTCCGTGGGCCTTTTCTTTGTTATAAATCAATCCTTGGCTCTCCATCCGAGCACATCCATAGGGTAAGTCTATATTGGTAAAGACACAGCTGGCAAAATGGTGATAAGTGCCCGCCCTGTCGGCAAGTTCATACTGCATTCGCAGTGGTTTGGGTAATGTAAAGTGGCATATGACCCATGGTGAACGAGGCAGTAGGAACTGGAACACTTACTACACGTGCATGCACTACTAGTACTACTGGCCAGTACTGGCTGCAGTAGCAAGTCCCGTACAACACTGCAAAGCGGTACGGTAATCAGCACAATTGCTAACCTGGTGGGCATTGTAGTTGCTCCATGGGTAGTTGCTGCGGGTGCGGCTAGCCTTGGAGTTGCGGATCATGCGCGGCTAGCCTTGGAGTTGCCGATCATGCGCGGCACACCTTCTCATGAAGAATGGACGGTCAGTTACTTGTATGGTCATGGTAATCACATCGTGACGTCAGAGATTGATTGGAAGGATACTGAGAGAACGGTGGCCCTTACGCCTGGTGCACGATTTGGCCTTGTCAAATTGATCCTCTGCTGACCTCACCAGGAGAGCACCTGTGCAAGCGACAAGCATCCTGCCAAAGCCCATGCCACATCCTTGGGCGTGTAGGTATCTGTAGCACTCGGCAGCACGATTTTTTTCTTCTACAAAATC